GGCACACAAGGAGGTGCGGGGTTATACATGGTGAGACTCCGGAATTGAGACCTAGCATTTGGAAGTTGGGAGCCTGGAGTGTAGGAAGTAGGGAGGAGTACCCTGGAGTCTGGAGGACTATGAGGCTGTCGAGAGGAGGGCGAGGGAAGGCTGGAAAGGCATGGGGTGCAGAGCCATCACCTCAGGGCATCATCACTGGTGTGAGGGCCAGGCCAGGTGAATCTGGAGGGTGCTAGACTCAGCAGTGGAAACGGAGTAGCTGACCCCACAAGCCAGGGCAGCAGTGTGCTCTCTGAAGGAGGCTGGGCAGTGGGAACATGCTTGTCAGGAAGGTGCTTAGGATCCACAACTGGCCTTAGCACTCAGAAACCATGCAAGTGCTGAGACCGGAGAAGCCGACTACACAGGTTTTAAACTCTCAGCCACCCTGCATACCCATTAAAGCCGGGCAGAGGGCAGCATGATTCTAGAATGGAAAACCGGACAGCAGTAAACAAGGAACAAATTACGGCTACTTACCTGAGGGCCTGAGTGAGCCGCAGAAACATAATACACAGCAAAGGAGACAGATCCCATACATCTATTTATAGAAGATTCACAAAGTGGTAAAAGCGATCAGAAGTCACCCTCAGGTATTCCATGGGGTGTTGTAACAGAGACACCTGTCATAGTTAGCTTCGGTCGTCAACTTGACAGAACCCAGGGTCACTTGGGAAGAGAGAACCTTGAATGAAGAATTGTCTGGACCAGATCGGCCTGTGGCCTTACCGATGGGGCATTTTCTTGGTTGCTAATTGATATAAAAGGGAACAGCCCACAAAGGGCAGTACCATCCCTAGTCAGGTGGGTCTTGGTTGTATAAGAAACTACGGTGAAAGCAAGCCAGGGGGAGCAAGCCAGTAAGCAGCACTCTTCTGTGCTCTCTACCTAATTTTGACCTGGAGGTTGTAAACCGTCCAGAATGTTTTATCACAGCAATAGAGAAGCAAACTAAAACAGCATCGTCACAAGGACAGGGACAGATCAGTGGTAGTAATTACCCAGTATATGTGTGGTCCTGGAATTAAAACTCGGTGTGCACCCCCCCTCCCCCCCACACACACCATGCACTGATCATTTAAACAGCACTCACACTTTCTTGAAGTTTGAATATTGTCATGAGAGCAAAGTACCACCTGGTGCCCCGTGAGGGCTGTTTCCTGGTTTGTGGCTAGCTCTGTTCTAGCTATGTCCTCACTCGACAGGAAAGAAGCCACATGCTTTCTCTTGGAGGGCACTAATCCTGTCACGAGGACCTCCCTTTTCCCTACCTCATCGCTGCTTCTTTTTTTTTTTTTAAAAAAAAATGATATTTATGTGTATGTGTGTGCCCACTCTCTGTAAGAGCAGCATGTCCTTGCAGGTGTCTGTGGAGGCCAAAAGAGGGTAAAGCCTCCGGAACTGGAGTCACAGGTGGCTGTGAGTTGCCACATGGGTGCTGGGAATTGAACCTGGGTCCTCCTGAAGAGCAGCTAATGCTCTTACCAATGACCCACTCCTCCAGCCCCAATCTCATCACTTCTTAAAATCCCTCTTCCTGATACTGTCCCTTGGTTTCAACAGGTGACCTAAGAAGGACACTCACAATCAGGGGCAGAGTAGGACGAGGCAGGCCTGGGGAGGCTGGCTGAATCCTCCTTCCAGGAAGAGGGCCTGATACAGAAGAAAGGACACAGCAAGTCTAATCACGTTGTGATTGTCCACTGAGGACATGTGACCTCTGTGCACGTTTGTCAACTTGGGGCCCTGACAGAAAGCCACAGACTTCATGCCTTAAGCAGCAGAGATAGATGTTCTCACAGCTATGAAGGTTGTAGTCTGAGATCAAGTCCAAAATGGAGATTCCAGCCAATACGACTCTGTGCAGAGAGCTTTCTTCCTGGCTTGGAATTAGCTCACATCTCTCACCTGGTGCCCCCGTGACCTAAAAGGTCACAGTTCAGGGGAACTGAGCAAGCTCTTCTGCCTCTTCTTGTCAAGCTACTATCCATATCACTAACCCAAACCCTTTCTGGGATCCAAGTAACAGGATTAGGGACACAGCCTGGCCCTCAGTGCAAGTTCTGGATGTCAAAGGAACACAGAGGAAACGCTCATTGAACAGTGAGACACACACACACACACACACAAACACACAAACACACAAACACATGGCAGTTTCTTAGGAGGAGCCATGATGAGTAGGGGAAGGCATCTGTGTAGACCCTTCTAGCATTAACCAGGAAGAGGCTGTAGCTCAAGGGGATGTGGAATGGAGGCTGCTCTTTAACGTGGAGGAGATGGAGGCTCAAATGGACCCTGCAGGTACACCTCCAGCTTAGCCTCGTCATGACTTGTTGAAGCAAGGTGTTATCTGGGCCCTACCATGCCACTATGGGGACATGGCTACACAGGAGGGGCACAGTGACATCCATCGTGAATGCAGAAAGGCAGGAGTCTGTGGAGAGAGTACGTGGGGCCCATAATTCTCTGCCAGGGACGGTGATGGATGTAAACAGGAGTAGAACAGGGGCAGTGGGGGCAGGTGTCGGGCAGGAGACCCAGAGCAGAAGCCTGGCTCTGAGTGAGGGTCAGGGAGTGTTGTCAAGACTGTCCTCCAAGCCAAGCTCACTATCAGGAGGTGCTCTCAAAACACCGTCCCACCTGGGCTTCTTGACTGCTCACATTTCCTTCCAGAAGGAGTGGTAGAAGGGTTATAGGACGCTCACCTGAATAACCAGCAGTCCCTCCCAACGAGCTGTATGCAATTCTGCTCTAGTTGCAAGTGGCCTTAAGTGGGGGCGGGGTTCTCTGAGAGGGGCTAGAGTGTGCAGGTAGGAAAGGACTAAGGAATGGGTCTCCACCATCTCTGTTGGGTGTGGCTGTTTTAAGGTCACCCAACACCCCTCACTCATTGCTCAAGCAAGCCTGCTACAATCAATGGTTCCCAGGATGAACTTTGGTGGACACCAACTTTTTGTCATTGGGACCTTGGGAGGGGGGAATACGGATGTTGCCTAGAGGTCCCCAACCTCCCACCCGGGGCAAAAATTCTCACAACACCAAGGCAGTACAGTGCAGGTGAGTCCTGAGGCAAACGGGATACTGCAGGCGCAGAGGGGCTGATGACAGCTTGGAACCCATGGGATCTGGGATCCGAAGCATGGTTCAGAGCCACAACTGTGACAGGCTGTTTTCTGTGTGGTCCAGGGCATCTAGGCAGGTAAAGCTGGATGGACAGGCAGGAGGGTGGGTATGAGGATTCCTCTAAAACCAGGGGTTGGGGATGGGACTCATTATAATGTTAGGAAGGGGCAAGTCTGCAGAATGGGGTGGTGGGTAAGGATGTGGAGAGGGCATTTAAGCAGAGCAGGTGTTGGGGAGGGGAAAGCGTGCTAGGGCAGGGTAAGATAAGCTAGTCCCCTTCCTGTGGAGAGTGAGCTTGCCTGCGTGTTTTGGCCCTGAATCTGCACCTAGGCCAGGAGGTGGGCAGTGGTAGCCTGCTCCACAGTGGAAAACCCTGGGCTGGGGCAGCTCACAGCAGGCAGGTGCTGGTCAGCTCCAGACCTCTGGGGGAGGGTGTCTAGCCAACCCTCCCAGACACCCTGCAGAACCCTGGGGCACTTACTTGCTTCTCCTTGTAGGCACCCAGCAGGCCTTTCTGTGGCATCAGTTCTAGCTCTGGGTGCCTTCATTCTCGAACAGGAAACCAGACATCCTCCAACCCCCGCCCCCCCCCCCTTCCAGCACCCTCTGGACTGCCCTGGGGAGGAGGTGCCTGGAGTCCCAAAGGCCAGCTGACACAGCACCACGGAAGGGGGAGCAGCCTCAGTATCCCCCTCCCCAAGCTTGTGACTAATACGTTGGACTCCAGGCCACGCTCCCTCCTTACCTCAGTGCCTAGCCTCTCCCAAGGAAGGAGGCTGTAGCTGCTCTCCTGTCACAGCAGAGCTCACTGAGAAGCTAGGAAGGCTAAGGATCAACACTCTCAAAACTCATGCATCCCCCACAGGTCCCTCAGGGTAGGAGTCAGTTGGAGGAGGTGGCAGCTTGCTAAAAGAGGTGAGCAACCCTCCCTGCAGCCCCCGCCCCTCGCTCCTGGCTCCTGTATGAGAAATACCTGGATGAGTAAGGAAGGGGAAGTAGAAAAGGGAGGGGGGACAGAAGGAGATAAGGAATAAGTACTTAAAAGGACGAAAAAGGAAGGAAGTACCGAAAGGTGAGGAAGGAGATGAAGACAAGGGGAGAGTGAAGAAAGGAGTATTAGAGGGAAGGAAGGTAACTGATGCGCCAGGGAGGCACCCACTGCCAACCTGCCTCTGAGTGCTCTCGTGCAGGTGCCTGAGTAGAAAGGTGACAGGGCCAGGGGCAACTCACCCCCAGCCGAATTATCCAGCTCTGCCTTATGGGTGCTGACCTTCAGCCCCCAGAGGCGCGCTGGGCGCCTCCCTCCTCCTCCCCCGCAATTGTCAGAACGACCCCTATCTTCTCCTTAATAAAGGGCCGCGACATCTTCGCGCCCCCAACCCTCCTAAGTCTCTCCTCCTACCGCCCTGGACCTATTAGGAACACCTGGCCACTAAGGTGGCCCGACTCAAGATAGGTGTTCCCGGCTCCGGAGGTGACCGCCGTGGCCCGGGCTCCGCGCCTCAGCTCCACCTGCGCGGTGGCTGCGCGGCCGGGGGCGGAGAGGCGCGCAGCGGAGGGAGGGGCCTGCGACACGGCCCCGCCACGGCGCAGCCCGGCTCAGCGCCACGCGCGTCCCCTCGCCGCCGCTGCCGCCACCGCCAGGCACCGGGACGCAGCGCGAACCGTGCGGCCGGGATGCGCGCCCGGGCCCCGGCCCGCCCCACGCTGCGGCCGCCGCCTGCCCGCCGCACGCTCGCCTGAGCGCGGCGCCCGCCCATCCCCGGCCACCCGGCCGCGATGCCCGCCCTTCTGGGCCCCGGCGGCCCGAGACCCTGCTAGGCTGCGGCGGCATGGCCCGCGCGCCCGGCGCGACCTCTGCGGATTGCATCGGTGTGCGGCGGCGGGGCATGCCCAGGGCACCGGGCGCGGCCTTCAATGGGCGAGGACACGGACACGCGGAAAATTAACCACAGCTTCCTGCGGGACCACAGCTATGTGACAGAAGGTAACGTACGTGTTGTCTGAGACCCCCTCCGGCCGGCCGCGGCGTGGGGATGCCGTCGCACCGAATGCCCTCCGAAGGTTTGGACCGTGCGCTGTGTGTCGTGTCCCCCCCACCCCACCCCGACCCCGGGCCGGGAGGGAGGGAACCGGGGGGGGGGACTTCGGCCGCTGCCCAGCGCCCTCCTCCGTGCCGCCCTCGGGAACGCAGCTGTCCTTCCCCCGCCGGGTGGCACTGAATCGGGCCCTGACTATCATTTACAAAGCCCGAGGCTGCAGCAAATCTGGTGTGGAAATCTCCAGGACGTGGAAAGGCTTAAAAATCCTTCATTTGCCCTTTCAGCCTGGCCAAATCCGGCAGAAATTTCAAGATTGCCCACTCCCTGGGGAGGGACCAAGGGGGGAGAAATTCCATTGCCAGATCCTCCAGGGTTCAGCTGTCCTGGCACCTCCCTGGTCCCCAGAGGCGGGTCCCCAGCGTGGGAGGGGGAAGGAGGCTCGTAGGAGCTACTGTTTTATTCCTGGATAGTGCTGCTGAGACAGGAGCTGGGCTCTGGACCTTCATGGTTTTCCAAAAAAGTGGGGCATGCTACCCCAAGCAAGCTCTGCGTTTAAAACCCCCTAAGTTGGCCCTGTGCGTCAGCCCCCACCAAAAGCTAGTGGGATGGGGTGCAAAGGGTCAGTGTCCTTTGCTACAGTGACAGTAAGTTCTGGGGTCCCCAGGCCCTGTCTGGTCGCTAGAACTGTGGGGACAGCTCGAGGGGGCAGCCAGGGGCCAGAGAAGTGAATCGGCTGCAGAGGGAGAGCCAGACCTGGTCCCAGCAGCCAGCGAGCAATCCGTGCTGTAGACCTCGCTGGGCTACGTAGGCGCCTCCTTCCCGGGGGCTGCGGGTCAGGCCGAGAGGTGTCCAGGTTTTAAGCTGGTGGCTGACCGGGTGGGAGGGGCCCTGGCACCGAGTCCCAGGGGGCGGCGCGCGTGGTTGCGTACCCCTAGGAACCTGCGTGGGCCCGGCCTCCCCGGTGCCGAGCTTCGCCGGAAATGAGGCGGGCGCGGCGACTCCCGGCGGGTGCGCGGACCCGGGAGGCAGAGGCTAGGTGTGCGACCCGGGCGTGTGGATGCTGAGGGCGGCGCTCCGTGCTCCGAGGAGAACCGCTGAGTCACGCGTTGCCGCCGGGTGTGCGGAGGGGGGGGAGGGGCAGGGCTGCCCTAACCGGCCTTGGGGAGGCTCCTGGCGCAGAACTCAGCCCTTTGTCGCCCGCTGGGTGATGCGGAGGAGGGTCGCGCTTCATGGAGCTGACGATCTGCTCACAGCCTGCCTAGCGGCGGAAGGTAGCCAGCTGGTCGCTGCAGGGAGTCCTGCCCAGGGCCAGTGTTGCTCTGGCTTTCTGAGCTGAAAGCCTCAGTTTCCTCACCTGCACACTGGATCCAGCGGGCCTCAGAGCTTCTGTGTAACAAATATAAAATGCAGAGTGCCCACCTCAGAGGGATACAGTTCAAAGTGTTGCTCTCATCCGCAACCTACTTCCTATTCCTTAATAAACTCACCTGGGCAAGGTCTGCAGGAGGAAGGACCAAGTTTCCATGGCTGCTGCTACTGCAATCCCCTGAACCTTCGGGTTCCAATGCTGGGGTTGGGTAGAGGTCCCCTGCTTTCGTCCATCCTGTGTTCTAGCAAGGAGTCCTGTGACTTGTGGGAGAATCTTTTCTCATGTACTTCAGTTTCCCCATCACAGATAGCAGGGAACAAGTTCTCCCTTCCCCCTTCCAGCTATGAGAATGAGGTGAGATGGTGAGCAGGGGCTTCCTACGACCTGTTGATGTGTTGAGTACCAGCTGTGTCCTGGGGCTTCACATAGGGCCTGGTGGAAGTCTCATCTTGAGCTCTGAGCAATGAGCAGTGTGTATAGGGCACAGGGCTCAGGCAAGGAGGAACCCCTTCAGGGATCTTATAAAGAGAAAAACACCCTTAGAATCTAACTCCAAGGAGGTGAGAATTTCAGTTTCCCTAAATAAAGACGGGATCCCCTTCCACATACACACACCAGTCACAGTATAGTGTCCTGACTGATTTGTGCTGAGTTCAAGGTCACAGATTTGTCAGCTGGCCAGTTGAGTTGTGTTCAGGTTCTGCTTACAGCTCTTCACCTGCTGAGCTTCCCCGGATGAGTCACTAAACCTCTGTGGACTTCATTTGTCTGCTCTGTAAACAGAGGAGAAGTCACTGTGACCTCTCTCTCTCGGGATTGTTGAGATAACAGTGGAACCGAGAGTATAAAATGCTCATAGGTAGGATTGGGCTCTTTGGAAGCATTTAATAAATTACACCAGTGTCGCTAAATGCTTTCTCTTTTAAGAGCTGCCGTGGCCATTATGTCTCTTTACAGCAATAGAACAGTGACTAAGTCAGAGGTTGGTACCAGGGAGCAGAGTGATGTTGTGACAGGCTTCATGATTTGTTAGAGGAATATGGAAGACTTGGGACTTTGGACTAGAAAAGCTGTTGAGCAATTTAAGCCGGGCTTAAGTGGCTGTCCTAGTAGGAGCATGGACGACAATGCTAAGGGCAGTTTGGACTGTGGGAGCCCAGCTCAAGAGGTTTCCGAGGGGAAGAATACTATTAGTACGTGGCCTAGAGACCAATCTTGTGATATTTTGGCATAGTTTGTGATATGTGGCTGCTTTTTGCTCTTGTCCTAAATGAACTCCTGTAGGTAAATCGAAGTGTTTTTGGATTAATTGCTTTGGCAGAGGAGATTTCAAGACAGCCTAGTATTGACTCTGTTGTGTAGTTATTAGTAATCGCTCTCACGCAGATCTATCATGAAAAGGAGCAAGCTGGGCAAAGACAAATACAAAATGTACCGTTTGAGGAGAAAAGGAGCACCAGGAGTGTCATGGACCTACGTCTATTGCTGAAGGAGATTTTTAGAAATTAAAGAAAAGTAATGCTAAATGGAATAAAAGGGAGTGGTGACCTCAGGGCAAGACCCCACTCAGCTACGGTTTCAACTTGTGAAAAGGAATTAAAGAGAAGCTTAAGCTCAGAAGGAAACCACCTGCAACAGAAAGATGACACAGACATAAATTGAACAGGGGGAAGTTCCAGCCCCATCCAACTGCAGAACTTGGCAGCTCCAGCCACTGGTTTTGGCTTTAGAGTCAAGGACACAAGAAAAGGGTTGTAGAATCCCCCTCCATGGTTAAGGAAAGCTACTGAGGCCAGGCATGTATCAGGGGTGTCCCTGCGTGGAGGCCCAGAGAGGCTATTGGGTGAAGCTGTGATTAAGAAGCCTACATTGCCTTGGAAGCCCCAACATGTCAAGAGATGCCAAGATCTCAGGATGCCTGCCGAGGATAACTGCAGACCAGGTGTAGAACCATCCCAAGAGAGAAGCGTATTACAGTTAACGAAGCTGGAAGGAGTTGAAGTTCTGAAGGGTGCCTTGACATTGGATGAGGAGATGCAGAATTAGGAATTTGTCTTTCTGATTTTAAGTCTTGCTTTGGCCTCACATTTCTTTGTAATGCTTTCCTCCTGTTTGGATTTGATGATCTGCCCTCATAGAGACGCCTCACTCAATTACACAAGCAATGTCTCAGCTCTTTTGCTACCCTAAGGTGTGCCTGTTTCCCAAAGATGTAAGAAGAGAGCATCGGATCCTCTGGAACTGGAGTTACACATGTGTTCTGGAAATTGAACCCAAGTCCTCTGGGAGAACTGCAAGTGCTCTTGACAGATGAGCTATTGCTTCAGTCCCATATTTACTTATTTTTTTTTCGGGGGGTATGATATTCCATTGAACCTGGAGCTTAAGTCCGGTTGACATGCCAGTGAGCACCAGGGATCCACCCATCCCTGCTTCCCCAGTGCTGGGGGTTTTGTGTCTGTGCTGCTGCCTGCACTTTTATGTACATGCTGAAGACTGGACTTAGGCCCTCAAGTTCACGTGGCAGGCACTTTACTGACCGAATCATCTTCCTAGCTCCAATGTTCAGTTTTATTTTTTCTAATTCTGGAGATCCCTCTACAGAGTACCTGGGTCGCAAACCTTCCCCCAACCCCTCACACGCATGACCCCTCTCCAGAGGACCCAGTGCCATGGTTTCTCTTATTATCTTTGGGTCAGCCTGACTCGAGTTGCTGAGATGAAAACTCAGCTTCATGTTGACTCGGAGACCCCAGCTGTCTGGTGGAAAGGAAAGACTTTGGCAGCCATAATTAGCCGTTAGTGTGGAGAAGCCTCAGGTCCATCTTCTCATCTAGTGAAGGAAAGGCAAATTCAATAATCCGCACGTTCCCTTCTCATACACTGTTCTCTGATTCTAAAGTCAGAACTGCAAGTTTTATCTCTTTTTTCCCCCTGGACACATTCCCCCTATCCTTTGTTGTACCTGACTAGCCTCTGAGCCACACAACTGCCATCTTGTGGCGTTCACCCCAGGTTGGCTTGTTCACTGTTTATATCCCCCACAGAGGAAAAAGGAGGGCCACAAGACCCTCATCTGAGTATCCAGCTGTTCCATACCCCACCCCACGCACACCTTGATGTTCGTTAGAATAGCTGGGTGGGGTTTTTGGTGTACACTCCTGCCTGAACTCAGCTGCACTGATGCTTGGTATTGGCTGTGGGTGCAGGGCACAGAGAATTTGGGAAATGGGGATAAATGGAAGCTGTTAGGGTGGTGGAGGGACTTGAGCCTAAGAAAGGGCGCTCTTGGATGGGGGTACTGGGAAGTGGGGATAGGTAATGAAGTGGAAGCTACTAAGGCAGTGGAGGGATCTAATAAATGGAAGAGGGTGCCCTAGGATGGGGTGCTGGCAAGTGTCTATCAGACATTTTCAAGAACTGCATAGGGCTCTGTTTTGAGACAGGTCCAAGACTCTGCTCCAGTCTGAGTGAGATTGGCATGACTGGGCTCGACTAGACCAAGTCTCCCTGCCCATCCTTCTCTTACTGCATTGTCCAGCATATCCTTTGAGCTGTCCATAGCACCCAACTGAG